TTTTCCATTTTTAAAACACCAGTAACAGTAACAGTAACAGCAGTGGCGGATTTATCGTACAGGCAACATAGGCTGAAGCCTAGGGCGGCAGAATTAAGGGGCGGCAAAATTTAAGACAGCTAAATTAAAAGAAAAAAATTTATTTGGATTCAGCTGCACTTGAAATTGTGTTTGTGTCTGTAAAATATTATTAATGATTCATCTCATTCAATACAATTCAAAATTAGAATTACGCTGCGAATTTTTCCTTAGTATAGCAGTCGTTGAAATTTCCATTTAACTTTCATTCACGCGGCTTAGAAACCTGACGGCGCGCCTGCGCGTGACGCAAAGAAACAGCCGACACGCTGCCCCGAGAACGAGAATCATCTAAAAGGTTACCACACTTGACAACACTGCCGAAAAACGAGCGTGCATTTTCGAGAAAATTCTTGATTCCAAGCCCACCAGTTTTTCATAAGTGTATCATAACGTGAATAATCTGAAGGTCAGCTTCCGTCGTATGTCAAATTAGGCAGTGGCAAAATCAAGACGTAAAGAACTGTGAAAAAGAAGTGTTTGAAAGAGGGTTTTTGTTGAATACCTTATCCATGCTGATGTCGAATTTGTTAGTTCCGTTATGTATTTCATTATTAACGAACTATATTGTAATAAAGCACTGACAATAACAATCATATTTGATATATATATATATTTTTTTTTTCGTGAAAAAAGGGCGGCAAGTTATGAATTGCCTAGGGGCGGCAAATATTTAAATCCGCCACTGAGTAACAGTAACAGTAACAGTAACCAGTAACAAACGAAGCATCATCTTTGTTTCTGATGCGCTGATTGCGCTAGCGATGCGTTTCGATAAATTTTCGGATGCGTTTTGGTAAAGTATACATCGTCAACATTTTGTAGTTCGGCGTTATGGAACATTATACTTTGTACCTACGTATGCAAAACAATTGACGTTTGGAAGTCAGCTATATTCATCGTAGTTTGCTTGCTCCAGCGATAATATTCAGCGTTAGGATTTTAAGGCACTGAAAACTTGAAAAAAGGCAAAATGAGCTTTGAAAATAAATAATATAAAAAAAAACTTTTTAATATACAACGCTTTTATAAATGGACTAAAAAGTAGAAAATAATACTTCTCAGTCCCATAGAATTTGTTTTGATAACTTTTGATTTTGAAATTTTAGCAAAAGTCATTATAAACAATCTATGAAATTGAAAATGAAAAACGTGGAGCGCATGCAATACAAAGCATTCGATTTAATTGACAATAGTCAAACTACATAACGTAGACCTAAAATTTCTACAGCGAAAGTAGAACTTTGAAATCGATTTTAAGCGGTCGTTATTCATATACCCACATACATACATTCATATATTACTTTTCATATCAATTCAAGTGTATTACATGCGCCCCACGCTTTTCATTTTCAATTTCATAGATTGTTTATAATGACTTTTGCTAAAATTTCAAAATCAAAAGTTATCAAAACAAATTCTATGGGACTGAGAAGTATTATTTTCTACTTTTAGTCCATTTATAAAAGCGTTGTATATTAAAAAGTTTTTTTTATATTATTTATTTTCTACTTTTTAGTCCTGTCTGAATAAAATTTTGCAATAGATATTAAAATAATTCAACGATATTAATAGAAAGGTGCACACACATGCATTTACATATGTATGTACATACAAACGAGCACCAATTAATTTTATTTAAAGAAATGGCGTGTCGTCTATTTCCGCCGATATGCGTGTATAAACCCTCCTCAAAGTCTAGCCAAAAAGCCAGCAACTCACACAACAGGTTCCCCAGAGCAATTCGCTCGAGAAAGTGGTACCCGGTACACGTAATACGCGGCACACAGCACAACAATCCACCAAAACAGGCAACCCGGCCCAAAATTACCACCGTAGAAGGCAGAAACCCCGAGCGGCAGTGCAGGAGCCCAAGAATTACCCTTAAAACGGCCACAGGAGCTTAAAAAGACCAACTGGTCCCCAAATGGTCCGAATGTATGTAGTTTCGGACTAGTCCCAAACTGGTTCCCAACTGGTTCCCGGCCTGGTCCCCGACTGGGTACCAACTGGGCCCACGAACTAGTTACCAACTGGTCCCAAAGTGGATACCTACTGGTCCACCTATACCTCAAGTGGTCCACAAGTCACTTCACTTACAAAGCATTCGATTTAGTTGACAATAGTCAAACTAATTTTATTTAAAGAAATGGCGTGTCGTCTATTTCCGGTGTAGCAAACGTAGTACATAGGGCGACATCTAGATGTCATCTACCTCGCCCTATTCACTATGCTTTTTTATAGGAGCTTTTCAAAGCTTTGCTTTGGTGTCGGAACACAACATTGAAAGTTTCTGGATCCACAACATTGAAAGTTTCTGGAACACAACATTGCAAGTTGATAAAAGCGTTGTAAAAAGCAAGACAAAGGCAAACAAGGCATTTATTTTTTAATTTTGTTATATACATACCTTTAAGTTCCATTGGCATGTATAATTCAATATATAAAAAAATATATACAGTGGTCAAAAAATTATAGGCGAATTACTTTTTGCCAAGTTTTAAAATATTATTTTGGTTGTTACTTAATCTTGGTAACTTTTCTTATACCCGAGCGCACTTGACCACAAGGGTATTATAACTTTGTTCACATAACGGTTGTTTGTAACAGGCAAAACGAATCGAGATATACATAGACAAATGTATACATAAATGATCAGAATGAAAAGAGAAATCGATTAAGCGGTGACTGCATGTCCGTCCGTCCGTCTGTCCGACCGGCTGTGCACACGATAATTCAAGTAAAAATTGAGATATCTTCACGAAACTGCGTACGTGTACTTCTTTCGGGCGTAGGTCGGATGGTATTGAAAATTGGCAAAACCGGACAATAACCACGCCTACCTCCAATATAACGGTAATTTTCAGAAATACGAAAACTACGATATTTTAGTAACTACTGAAGAGTATTCACCCAAAATTGATATTTCCAATAATTTTTAGACGAAAAATAAGAATATTATAAATTTTTGGAAAATGGGCGAAAATGATTACTTACACTAATGGTTACATGTCTATATCTTGGTAACCGCTGCACTAATTACTTCCAAACTGGGCACAGTTATTGGTCTTGGTACAGCATACCAAATGGCTACGCCCACATCCCATATATCGGTAATTTAGAGGAATACGAAATCTTCGACAAATGAGTAAATATTAAAGCTAATTTATTGAAAATTGATGCTTGAAACAATTCTTTACCAAGAAATACGTTTATTATAAAATTTTGGAAAACTGGCGTGGCACCGCCTACTTATGATCACATATCTCGTTAACCGTTCCACCAATTTGTACCAAACTCGGTATGGTTATTGTGCTTGCAACGTAAAAGCAAAACGTTGAAAATTGTTTAAATCAGACTAAAACTACGGCCGGTTTTTTAATATAACGGTAAATTCCAGAAATGCTTGAAACTTCAATATTTTGAAATTTAAGGACGCTAATTTACTCAAAATTGATACGCCCCGGCTTACCATGTAGCGGTAGCTTTCGGAAAGGTGAAAATCATACATTTAATACTTCCGCCGGGTATTTAATATTCCGCTCCACCCGAACTTAGACTTTCTTACTTGTTATAATAGTTCTTTAACAAAACCCGTGTAGATCCAAGTTTTCAACTTTGTGATTTGTTTAAAATTCTAAAAAATCAACCGTTAGCCATTTGAAACTTGCACTGGAATTGAATGGGCTACAAAACCAAACACTCAGAATCTTTTTTAAAAATCTAATTAAAAAAACTAGACACGAAAATTTTTTGATTTTGTTTTTAAATATTGAACAAAGTTTTAAGGCAGTGTCACTCGATTGGTAGATACATTATTTTAAAAAAATTTTATGACAATTTTTTTGTCGTCACAAGATTGGTACTATACAGCGATCGTCTATTGAAAAATTTGAACAAATTATTTTTCGTGATTGGGATAGAAAAAAGTATTCCACCAAGTGCATTTTAAAATTGTTAGGCAATAGCCTAATGCGATTATCGCGAAGCATTGATTTGATGGACCTAAACCTCATCTCAATATCTACTGATCAGGGCTGCCAACTACTATCTATCAGAATTATAGATATAAAAATAATTTCAAATGAATAATATTTATATTTTGCAAGCTCACACTCAACTCGTCATTTTTACAACCTTAGAAAGATCTGCTCAAACGCAACCCTGAAGACTCTGTATTACGCTCTAGTCCACTCTAAGATTCAATATGGTATAAGTTGTTGGGGCGGTGCATCTTCTTATAAGATTCAGCCGCTTTTGACTACACAAAAATGTATTGTCAGAAAAATTTGTAATGTTAGCCGATTTCACCATTTCATGGAGTTATTTAGGGACCTGAAAATTCTGCCAATAAAACACATGTACTACTACAGGACTCTAAAGGTATTCTTCCTTCGTTGCGGCTATTTACAAAGCTTAATTTTCGATAGTTATAACTTGAGAAAAAACACGCTTAGCCTTGTTAATGTTCCTACACATCGTACTACTCATTACAAAAACTTCCTTACCATAGATTCCTGTAAGCTGTATAACGCCCTACCTGTCAGAATACGTTTACTTAGGAATGTGTGCGAATTTTTAGCAAACGTAAAAGCTTTTCTATTAGACCATTCACACAATGATATCAAGATTTTGCTCGAAACTGGTACCTTATAAATAGGGTTGCCAGATTTTTTATGCGCGAAATCAGTACATTAGACTTTTTCATACTAAAAAAATCAGTAGTTTTCAGGACATTTTATTCAAAGCAAAATTATGAATGTAAGTGTTATATCTACTTTATTATTATATACTTGTTCATTTGGTAAAAATTTGTAAACTTTCTTCTTGGAAACGTTTGTTCTAAAAAACTTTCTTGAAAATAATAATTGATAGACTGAATTCATGGAATAAGGATCTTTTAATTGACGACGAAAGTTAAAATGGAAAATTTTCTTGCGAATCTGTTGGCGAGGCAACAGGAATGGTCACAGCAAATGTTGGCTCAGCAGCAGCAATTTTTTGCACAAATGACGAATCGTCATGAAGGCAGCCCATTGTCGGGCGTTTCGACTGCAGCATTTTCGGCAGCAGTACCAAGGTTTCATAGTTTTGATGAGGAGAAGCACAATTTTGCATCTTACAAAACGCAATTGGACGAGCATTTCAAGGCTTATGGCGTAGAAGATGTGGAGAAAAAACGGTCGTTTTTACTATCATGGATAGGGGACGATGCATTCAGGCTACTGCAAAAGTTGGTTGGGAAGCACGCAATTCAGTCTTTGTCGTACGAAGAAATTGTGGCAAAATTCGAAGTACATTTCAAAACCAAGACACACATTATTAAGACGAGGCATGATTTTTACAAAAGACAGAAGCGTGAAGGTGAAACTTATAAACAATGGGTCACAGAGCTTCAAAGTATGGCACAAAATTGCAATTTTGTTTGCAAGAATGATCAGTGTGGTAGTGAGTATGTAGATGAGTTAATAAGAGACTTGTTAATTTTGTATTCACCTGATGAACCGGTACGTGGAGCATCGTTACACAAAGAAAATCCTACTCTAGAAGAAGTGATGCAGATTGCTGAAACTTTTGAGTCAACGCAGGCTACAATGAAGAGCATCAAGGACATTAACAACAAGGAGGTCGATATTTTTGCAATGCAAAAACGTCGTCAGTATAGCGAACAGCAACGTAAAAAGGACTTAAATAATCGAGAGTCGCAGTTACCAGCGTGTAATGAACGTAAAAAGGACTTAAATAATCGAGAGTCGCAGTTACCAGCGTGTAATGGGTGTTTCAAGAAGCACAAGAAGTCGGACTGTAAATATTTGAAGGTCAAGTGCTACAAATGTGGGCGTATTGGACACATCGCTACTGTATGTAAGTCCGTTCCGAATTTTAAACATAAACAAGTAAACGTATTAGAAGATGTAGAAAATTGCAACCTGGTTAATAGCAACATTATTACGCGGGCTGGTAATAAAATGTTCATTGACATTGAAATTAATGATACTCCAATGAAATTTCAATTTGATACGGGTTCAGTTTGCTCCGTAATTGGTTTGTCAACATACGAAAGTTTACGAAAACCAACACTGTATAGTACTTCTACTAAGTTATTCGGATATGGGTCAGTGGAGGTTCCAATTTTGGGTGCAATGCAGGCGAAGGTTAAGATAGGTGATGAAGTACAACACCTCGAACTTATTGTGGCTAATTCCGAAATGTGCACCAATATTTTTGGTTTAAACTGGTACGATCAGTTTAAAGCTGTTCAAGTCTTTCAAATTATTCAAAATTCGGATTTAAAAAAACTTTGCGATGATTACAATGAAATATTAAGGAAGGAGTTAGGTCGATGTAAGCAAGTTAAAGCACATATTTATATGAAGTCCGATAGTAGACCAAGGTTTTTCAAACCTAGATCGATTCCATATGCTTTGTTTGATTCTTTTAAGGAAGAAGCAAAACGTTTGACGGAGCTAGGTATATGGAAGCCAGTTAAATTTAGCCACTGGGCGTCTACACTAGTTATTGTTCCTAAGCCAAACAAAAAAATTAGAGTATGCGGAGATTTTAAAGTTACAATCAACCCTCAAATGGACGTGGAGCAATATCCAATACCACGTGTTAGAGACCTTTTTCATAAATTAAATAAAGGAAAGCTGTTTTCCAAAATAGATTTATCTGATGCGTACTTACAAATTGAATTGGATGAAGAATCAAAAGATTTAACTGTAGTAAATACTCCACTTGGGCTTTATCAGTACCAGCGTTTACCTATCGGTGTAGCAAGTGTTCCTGCTATTTTTCAGCGTTTGATTGAGGAGATTATAAATGGCATTCCCGGTTGCATTAATTATTTAGATGATATAATATGCACAGGAAAATCCGAAGCGGAACATTTAGATAATCTACCCATGTTGTTTAAGAGATTAAAAGATTATGGATTACGATGCAATTTTGAAAAATGTACTTTAATGCAAGAAAGTGTAGAGTATCTTGGGCACGTAATTTGTGCTGCGGGCATTCAACAATCTGAGAAAAACACAGAGGCAATTAAAAATTTGCCGCGCCCTACAAATTTAGCCGAACTTCAATCTTTTATGGGAAAAGTCAATTATTATTGCACTTTTATTAAAGACTATTCAACTCTTTGTGGCCCGCTTAATTTTTTGCGTAAGAAGAATCAGAAATTTGTATGGAACTCTGCACAAGAAAACGCTTTTCAAGAACTTAAAAAGCAAATTGTTGATATGACAAAGTTAGTTCATTTTGACGAGTCTTTGCCTATTATCCTAGCCACGGATGCATCATCATTTGGCATTGGTGCCGTTATTTCACATCGTTATCCAGATGGCTCTGAACGGCCAATTGCTCACGCTTCCAAGACTTTAAACGATGCACAAAAGAACTATAGTCAGATTGAAAAAGAAGCATTATCAATCATATTTGGAATTCGTAAATTCCATGATTACATATATGGTCGGAAGTTTATTTTAGTTACAGATCATAAGCCCTTAGTGTCAATTTTTAATCCAGCAAAAGGGATTAATTCTACTACTGCACACAGAATTCAGCGATGGTCACTGATCTTATCTGGTTACAATTATGACATTGTGTACAAAAGCACGAAAGGGCATGGTAATGCAGATGCATTATCGAGATTGCCATTCAAAGGGGATAAGGATTTTGATAATATGGAAGATGCATTTGAAGTGAATTCTGTGGAACAAATTAAAAATTTTCCTGTCAATGCAGATCTACTTGTTAAGTTCTCAGTAGCTGATCCGATTTTATCCAAAGTTTTTAACTACGTACGGAATGGTTGGCCTGAGAAAGAGTTAAGGACATTATTCCATATTTTCGTCATCGGTTCAACTTAACTATAATCGAAGGAGTATTGATTTTGCAAACCGATTTTGATCGCGTTGTGGTGCCAGTAAATCTTCAGCAAAAAGTTTTTAAAATGCTTCACGAAGGGCATTGGGAAATTGTTCGAACTTAGCCAGACGTTATTGCTGGTGGCCTGCGATTGACGCAGATATATGTAGTTTAGTTTCCACATGTTCAATTTGCAATTCTTTTAGCACGAGTTCTCCAAAAGAGTTCACACCTTGGCAAGAGGCAGAAAACCCCTGGCAAAGAATTCATATGGACTACGCAGGTCCTTTTGAAGGTTTTATGTGGCTAATATGCGTGGACTCATTTTCCGGGTTTCCATATGTTATAAAAATGACAAATTCAACAAGTTTTTCGACTATAGTAGCTTTACAAAATATCTTTGCAATAGAAGGTTTGCCAGAAGTTCTAGTTACAGATAATGGAAGACAATTTGTATCAAGCGAATTTGAAAACTTTTGTAAAGTTCATGGCATTCAACATTTGACTACAGCACCTTTACATCCTGCTTCGAATGGCCAAGCAGAACGATTTGTACGCACGTTCAAGACTGCTTTTAAGAAGCAAATGCTAGAGGGAAAAAATATGCAAAGTGCTCTATTAGCTTATCTCACTTCGTACAGATCCGCACCGAATAAAACCGGTAAAACGCCATCAGAGTTGTTACATGGCCGTCAACATCGCGGTTTATTATCACTGTTAAAACCAATTAAAAAAAAATCAGTTGAATTTTCGAAAACAAAATTGAAGTTAATCAAAATGTATACGCTCGTAATTTTTCCAAAGGGGATAAATGGATACACGGCGCAGTCATAAAACTCATTGGGAGAAGGATGTATTTAATAAAGACGCAATCAGGAGTAATAATTAAAAGGCATCAAAATCAAATTCGTTTAAATTCTAATTCTCATCAATCACAAGCTAGAACCTACTTAAATGCTTCGCAGTTAGCAGATCGTATCTTTCACAAACCTTATATTGATATTGGTTATACAACACGGAATGAAGATTTTTCAACGTCAACAGCTGCAAATTCCGCGTTCAGATCAAGGACCAAGTATCCAAGAGAGCTTTCTCCACCTTTTCTGCCAAGTCCAAAATGGCGTTGCTTAACAGAGATTCCGCTAACAAGATCTGAGCGAAGCCGACGAAAGCCAAATTTCTTCGTGGCGTAGCTATTCAATTGACGGAGAGGAATTGTTATATCTACTTTATTATTATATACTTGTTCATTTGGTATAAATTTGTAAACTTCATCTTGGAAATGTTTGTTCTAAAAAACTTTCTTGAAAATAATAATTGATAGACTGAATTCATGGAATAAGGATCTTTTAGTAAGTAACAGAAAATAATTTAAAACGCCTGAGTTCTTGTTTGTAACAATATTTTGGTATATAAATAGAATATAGGTCATAAAAAATAAAAGTGTTATTCATTTCAACATGTGTGTACACATCATTATACACAGGAGCCAATAAATTATTTTATATTTGTGACTTTTTGAATAGAAATAACACTGTACGGCAAAATCAACTTTTTTTCTGGGTATTGGACCAAACCATTTTTTTTAAGAGATTGAGTCATAATTAAGTAATTTCTCCGTTCGAAGTTCGAAATTGGACCTTTGGTAAAAAACTATTTTAAATTACTGTATGTAAACTACTAAAAAAAGTAAAAGCATAGTCGTGGTCCGCCATTTTCTCTTCATACGGCGCACGTATTAAATATATGTTTTTCACCTTACCGAAAGCTACCGCTACATGGTAAGCCGGGGCGTATCAATTTTGAGTAAATTAGAGTCCTTAGATTTGGAAATTTTGAAGTTTCAAGCAGTTCTTAAATTTACCGTTATATGAAAAGCGGCCTCAATTTTAGTCCGATTTCAATAATTTTCAACGTTATGCTTTTATGTGGCAAGCACAATAAAAATACCGAGCTTGGTACAAATTGGTAGAACGGTTACCGAGATACATATATGTGATCATAAGTGGGCGGTGCCACGCCCAATTTCCAAAATTTTATCACAAGCGTATTTCTTGGTTAAGAATTGTTGCAAGCATCAATTTTGAATAAATTAGCTATAATATTTACTGATTTATCGAAGATTTTTTATTTCTCTAAATAACCGTTATATG